TCGCGCTAATTTCGGGGCGATGAAAAAAATTACCCTGTTTTTCCTAACGGAGAGATTTCTTTTGTGAAAGGAGAATGGTTTCGCTCGTTTTATTCGCTGGCTTCTTTGCCCCTTTGCGGAGTATTAAATTGGAATATCGAAATGTAATACGGTTGATCCACGATAGACGTTCTACTGTTCTCTCTGGACATATTTCCTGTCGTAAATTACGTTCTACGTTCTATCTAACATCTCTCAAACCAAATCAATAAAACATTCGAGATACATTCCGAGATCCGCAACGTTGTTCAGCCAAACGAAACACAATAAGACCAGCGAAAGAGTATGCATCATTCCGAGGGAAAATCTCAATACAAGTACAAACATTACAAGAGACTCGAGTAACACCCAGATCCGCATAAAGAAAAAGAAATAGAAATTCTACTGTTCTTTCTGGAAATATTTCGTCTCGTAAATTACGGAAATCAATCGTTAATTCTGCATTCTATCAAACATCTCTCAAATAAAATCAATAAAACATTCAAGATACGTTCAGAGATCCGCAACGTTGTTCAGCCAAACGAAACACAATAAGACCAGCGCAAGAGTACGCATCATTCCAAGGGAAAATCTCAATACAAGTACAAACATTACAAGAGACCCGAGTAACACCCAGACCCGCATAAAGAAAACCGAAAGCCCGAGCGAAGGAAATACTAAAAACAACAAGTAACATTCCCCCGGGCCACCGAATCCAGAATAATGGAATAATCGGACGGGTAATTCCGGCGAAATTTCACGGCAAGATACGCGAACCGCGCGTCGGCCGGGGGAAGGAAGCGGCGCGAGAGGATAAATAGCGCGGACGGCGCGCGGGGGGACGGTTGAAGTGGGATAGCTCGATCAGACCCAGGGCCGAAAAGTTTTGACTTTATGCTATTTCGGGGGTGGGTGCCGGGGTGGAAGGGCGAACGCCGCCGGATAGACGGAATTTACGGACAGAATAAAATGACCACTTTCTCAAGCAAAATATACACGGAGAAAAATTCCGGCAATAAGCATACCTGGACCACGGCCAACCGCATTCTCCGTGCTCCCTTTTTATCATACATACGTTGCCTTTATGGCGGCGTAGGCGTAAGGGAGGCGGCGGCGGGACGGGGGAGACGGGACGACGATCGGGGGTGGGAAAGAGGTCGCTTGATTGACTGTATTGTCGTTAAATTAACGGGGCCGACGTGGATATCGGCCGGGAGAGCGAAACTAATTTTATGACCGCGAAACGGCCGCCGTTTTACGCGAGTCGTGTAAATCCGTTTGGTCAAGACGCGAGCGTCTCGCGAGCCCGGCCCCCCTTGTTCTTCCGGGATTAACGCCTGTAGCCTTGGGGAGCCGTTCTGTGCCAAGGACGCCGGCACACTTGTCCACTCGATTGATCTTCGGTCTACCGGGTGAAATCTAACGCTTCTGATCGTTTCGCCCTGTTCTCTTCGAACGACCGTTTCACGCGCGAATACGATGGGTAGTTTAGGTGTGGATGGCTTGTGGTTGGAGACGGATGGAAAGAGCTTGAGATGGTATTCGAGTTTGATTGTTTAGTAAGAAATTATTGGAGAGATTGTAGATGTATTGAGTTTTACTTCAACCCTATTGCTCAATCGAGGTTGGTACGCTTTTGAGTATTGGATGGGAATGGGTGCATTTTGTACTGTTTGGACTGCAGTTTGGATAAAATTTAAGTCTATGTGCAGGGCAAATCGATGTATAAGATGTTTTGTAATATAGAGTTTGAAATGGAGAAAGTTGAATGGAGTATTCTAGTATCGTCGGAGAATATTGGATCACTTGAAGTAAAATGAAGCGAGTGTTGAGTAATGTGTTTGTTTTATTTCCCATTGTTCCGCAGGCCCACCACCAGTGCACCAATTGATAAGGAACGACAAGACTGAAAAGCCCCCGACGGTATCCGTATCGAGCGCGCCGACCTTCTCGCCGGTCCTCAGGCCCGAGGACGGCCATCGCGGAATGGACTCACCTCATTCGCAAACGGGTATGTGATCGACAGCATCGTGGCCATATTGATATATCTCATATAATACATAAGCCCGCGATTACGTTTCAGGCTGTCGAAAGCTGTTTTTCGGGGGCCGCGATACGGCGGCCCCTCCATTGATACGGGATCTCGTGGCTCTTCTTACGAATTTTCAAGCGAGAAATCATCGCGAACGTAACCGGAGAATATTCGAAGCTATTTCAAAAGATCGTTCGTTGAAAATATCGCGAGGAAACGTACGGCGAACACGATAGAGGCGCGGAACGTTTAATTTTGCTTCGCGGAGGAATATTAAATTGCGAAGTTCCCCCGTTTTTCCATTTCGGAGTGCTCGTTTTAACAATTCTAATTACAGCGAAATTAGAGCAACACTTCGAGCAGGATTATAAGGAATAACGCCGGGTCTTTGGATCTATTCCAATTGAAAGAGAAAAGAAATGTAGGGGAACGCGCGGAATTAGGCGATATGTATGTATTAGAATAAACACGCCGGGGCCGCGGCCGGAATGTTTAATTAACGGGGCGCGCGCGAGAATTAGAATTTCATGTGTTCACGGAACAATTAGGTTTTTTTTAAATATACCGAAGAGCCGCGAGGTCCGACCGTCAGCCGAAACTTGGCAGCGAGCGTTAACCGGGTGTCTTAACACGTGGCAGCCTCTTTAGGGGTTGCACGGGGTGGAAAATCGATGGAAACGGGGGTTCGTTTAATCGCCCGGCTTGTTTGACCCTGTTCCCGGGGCGCATGAAAAAATATATCAAATAATCTGCGAGACAATTAAGCCTGACATCGTTAGCGAACCCCTTATATACCGGGTGGCTCGAAAATCTCATAACCGACCGGATAAAAGCTACAAATTCATACTTTCCAAAAGTATCACACTTCAGTACTAATCGAAACTTCACAAAATTCTACATTCGAATTTCGAGTACTCCTTTGGAAAAACAAAGAATTCCTACACACTGTGACTCAAAAATTAGTGTTCCCTTCGCTAAAATAAAGTTCCATTTGCCAAAAAAATAGCATTCTAAGAGCGATCTGAAATTCCGCAAGAAATTCAAGTTCCGAGGCTCTTATAAAATTGAATTCGAGCACCCCGTACACGGAAACACGAGACGCTCCCCGCGGGGGAGCGAGTAACCGTATTCCAGCCGAAGTGAATCCACTCGAACGTGTAAGACGAAGTCAAACAGGAAGTACGTGCGCGCGAATCCCCTTTCAGTCTTCCGCAGCCCCGAAGCGACCGCCCCGTGTTACGACACAGGCCCGGCAGGCCGCAGCCGCCCGGAGAGGCTCGGCGCACCCTTGTAAAGCGAACGAAAGCGAATCGAAACTACCCGGGAGCGTGTTCTCTCGCGTAACGTTTGCGTTTGATTGTTGGGGAGTAAGGGCTGCGCGGGTGAGCGCTCGTTCAGCGCTGACGGGACGCGCAGGAGAAAAGGAGAAGGTTCGGGAAAAGCGAAGGAACCGCTGAGA